GATGATGATGATGATGATGATGATGATGATGATGGTGGTGGTGTTGGTGGTGGTGATGATGATTATGCTGCTGATGATGATGATGAGGAGGAGGAGGAGGAGGAGGATGATGATGATGATGAGTGGGAGGAGGAGGAGGAGGAGGAGGAGGAGGAGGAGGAGGAGGAGGAGGAGGAGGGGGAGGAGGAGGAGGTGCCTGGAGGCGTCAGCCCGCGCCCGCGCGGCGTGAGCCCGCAGCAGAAGCAGGCCGAGGGCCCCTCCGATCCCATTTGGTTTGTTGTTGTTGTTGTTGTGTTGTGTTGTGTTGTGTTGTGTTGTTTTGTTGTCGTGTCTGTGTGATGATAATATATATATATATATATACATATATTATATGTATAATATATATATATAGATATATCACCGACCAGACATCATAGGCTTACAGTTAAGCTCTGCTCAAGCCCGCCGCCACGTGCGCCCGCCTTAAGGCTGCGCCCCTCCGATCCCGGACCCCCTCGAGTCATGGCAAGAATCACGACGGGAGGTGTTTCGCTGCTTTCGGCCATTAGGGCCCCTACCAGGCCTCGGGACAGTCAAAAAACGACGCAGGAACCGGTCCCGGGGAATGGGTCGAGACCTTCTGGGGGGTCGACGGTATGAGAAAGTCATGACGTCGGGGGTTGGGGATGCAGGGGTCGTTCCGACTCCGCTGGCTCGGTTCGATCCGATCTCCGCGGTTGCCGACCTGGACCGACTCGATGCGGAGATTCCGATCCGCGATTCCGGTTTCGAGTTCGCCCGATCCGATTCCTGGCGATGAGCCCACCAGCCTTAAGTCGGGCGTGTCCCTCTACAGGAGAAATACGGTGGGGGCGTTCGTTAAGGAACGCGCCCAGGAGGCTTCAGACCTTGGAGGGTTCCTTATCCAATGAGGGCGGCGGTGATATCCATGGCCAAGCCTCGATTGGAGTTCCACCAGCCTCCAGACCCTGGATTCCTTATCGAAGGTTTCCTTGTCAAGTGCCCCCACCGTGTTCAAAAATAGTGAGAAAATGGTCGGGAGACTATTTCTTGACCATGTTTGCATATCTTTGCGCATTTTATGACCATTCCTCATTTTTCATCCCAAATCCGCCTGTAGGAGGACATGCCCGACCGAACACCAGCCCTCCCACGAGGAGGCGTCGTCAGCGCCGGCGCGGCGTGAGCCCGCAGCAGGAGCAAGCTAGAGGCCCCTCCGATGAGCCCATCCGTCCCTCTCCTCCCTCTCCTGCTCCTCCTGCTCCTGCTCCTCCTCCTCCTCCTCCTCCTCCTTCTCCCTCTCCTCCTCCTCCTCCTCCTCCTCCCCCTTCTCCTACTCCTCCTCCTCCTCCTCCTCCTCCTCCTCCTCCTCCTCCTCCTCCTCCTCCTCCCCTCCTCCTCCCCCCCCGTCGTCTTTCTCCCCCTCCCCTCCGCCTCCTCCTCCTCCTCCTCCTCCTCCTCCCCCTCCTACTCCTATCCTCCTCCTCCTCCTCCTCCCCTCCCTCCCTCCTCCTCCCCCTCCTCCTCCTCCTCCTCCTCCTCCCTCCTCCTCCCCCTCCCCCTCCTCCTCCTCCCCTCCCACTCCCCCCCGTCCTCCTCCTCCATCCTCCTCATCTCCTCCGTCATCCTCCTCCCTCCTCCCTCCTCCTCCTCCCCCTTCTCCTCCTCCTCCTCCTCCTCCTCCGTTGCCATTTAGGCTCAAGGCAACTTGAGCGGGCAGCCCGCATTCAGCAGGCGTTCCTGGTTGTCGTTGCCAGGCGGACATTTTTTCTTTTTGGGCATTTTGTCCTTTCCTCCCAGGGCTCATCCGAGCCAACCTAGTGCACTATCCCGCCGCGCCATGTCGGGGGACAGCACGCCGTTCACTGCGAGCAGCATGCGCGACTTGATGAACGAGTTCATGGGCACCATGAACACCAGAGTAGCTGAGGAGGTCAAATCGCAGCTTGCCCCCATCTCAGAGCAGATCAATCGGCAGAACGGCGAGTTGGTAACCAGGATCAACGCTCAGCAGGAGGCCCTCAGACAACGAGGCGTCCGAGATCGTGCGGGTGAATGTGCCGACGCCCGATCGACTGCAGCCTCGTCTGTGGCAGCCTCATCTGACCGCACCAAGCTGAGACGCATCGGCACATCGTCCTCGGAGAGTGGTCCTTCGCCCCCATCAGATGCTCGTACAGTGTGTATCGGCACGTGGCCCAGTCCCGTTTTGACAAAATCCGCAAAGGCCACTACGAGCAGATCCAGCAAAACTTTCCACCGCCGCCGATTCGGCGGGTAAGTTCCATCGTGTTCCGCAGTCACGCGTCATCCTCCTCCCTTCCACGGGCAAGGCCAAACAGTTTCGGCTCCAAGTGCCAGTGCCGGCCAGGACCATGACATGGGTGGATCCGTGCAATGGCAAGCAGCACCCTTTCCGTGCCCGCAGCGACCTGCCGCCCGACGTCAGGAACAAGCAGCGCCGGTTCTCCAAGCTGCACCCGCCCAGAAAAAGGAGCTCGCCGGCAAGCGCCGCAAGTGGACCGACGGGCGCAGGCCCAGTGTCAGTGGCTTCAAGGGCGCGCTCCTCCTCCTCCTCCTCCTCCTCCTCCTCCTCCTCCTCCTTCGTCACGAACGGCGACGCCATCTGGACCCTCATCACGATGAGCCAAATCAATCTCGACCAGTTCAATTTCGTTCCCGTGTGCGACGAGCTCGCGGACTGTGGGATCCCCCCGCAGCATGTCGAGGAAAATCATCAGCGGCGCACAGGCTCCGCAGCAGGAAGTTCTTCCAGGGCATATCCATGCGGTGGCAGGTGGGGGTGAGCCTGTCGCTGAGCTCGACGCATTTTCGGCGTCTGATTTGTTTCTTCCATACCAGGTCCTGAGCATATGCTCGTGGAGTTGCAGAATTCTATGTTACCCTGCCGATTCCCTGGGGGAGCGGTGCGAACCCACTTTTGAGATCCTGAGAAGGCTTGCATGTAAACGTACAACCGTATGTCTGTAAGAAGTCCACGGGTGTCTTGGGGATCTAGATACTCTCCGCAGCGAGCTCCCATGAATTCATGTATTTGGGTCCGTCTTGGGGACCGAGAGTGCTGGAGGTGTGGTCACCATCATTAAGTCCTTCCTCTTCGAGCTCTTTGCGGGGCATTCCGAGGTACCAGTGGTCGAAGGTCGTGTTCTTGTAGTGTCTCTCTGTGGCCAGCGTGGGCGGCTCCAGGTTGCGGGCCTACATCTAGTGCCAGATTGGAGCGAGACGCGCGCCAAGGCCGTACTTTTCTCGCTGCGCACGCATCTATCTCCTGGGGATTGTGCCACGTCTTTCCTCGCATGTGACTGTACCTTCTCAGTGACTGGTGAAAGCAGGTAAGTTGTGGGCACGGGTGAAACGTTCGCGTCGTTCTCCTGGAATGCCGAGCACTTCCACTCGATCTTCCACTCCTACCTCGAAATCGAACAGCCTCATTATACTCATCGTGCTAACGTCCGCTCGTTGCCAAGCTTCGCTCGATTAGACAGAGCTCTCACGGGTCAACCGACCCCCATCGCCCTCGGCTTTAACCCGATCTCCACCGCCGACTCAGACATTACCGAACCAAATGCGCCATCTGCTCACGTTCCAGTTCACCTAGCGCGTCGCCCGCATCCCCGCCCAATCAATTTTCAAAAGGTGATAATGATGACGCATATGATGTTCCTCTTCCTCCGATCCCCGACTGGCAATTTGAGCATGTTAAGTTTCGCGCCAGATTCGACTCGCCGGCGGAGGCCAACGGGGTCAGCCTCGACCCGCCCGCGGCAGTGCTCGAACTGAAGAGCCTCTCGCATGTTGCTGCCAGGGGGGTCAAGTATCACGTCCGAGAGATCGGGGCCAAATTCAACCCTTCCAAAGCAGCCCAATGCCTCGAGCTTTTGAAGGCCCACCGCGGGAATCTGCGTAGATTGGCCTGTCGGGCCATCTCAGGTTTCTCGGATCTTTCGGAGTTTTACGATGCGCAGCTGATGGCATGGACAAATGGCTGGTTTCCTGGATCGGTTCCGCCAAATCATGCCCAAGGAATTCGCCGGGGTGGAAAGCGAGATCCGTTATGACCCCGACTGTTCCAGTGCCCAGAAGGGTTCCCACCTCGCACGCATCCGCAGGCTCTCTGCTGCTTGGGCACGGACCCGACCTCGCATCTACATTGCGGCCGCGGTGGAACCTGGCGGGGGGCGCACCGCCGAGCCAGATGGGATCGCCGAGTTCCTTGCTGATTATTGGGCCAAGATCTTTACCAGCGCCCCGCGCCCAGATGCGAACCCGCCCCCGCTGCTGAATTGCCCCTCGCCCATTTTTGGATACAGGGCACAGGCGAATTCATTCAAATCGTTCGGCGTGAAAAAGATTCGGCCCCAGGCCCCGATGGCATCAGGCACTCTGGGTGGAAACCGACTGGATCCTTGGGCTTCGAAGTTTCATTCGAGGTTTCATATAACCTATATACCCACCGGATGACATGTCGCAGATCGGATCCCACGTTCAAATATTGCAAGATGATTTGTCTCCCCAAAAAGGATCTCGCGGGTGGCGATGCCGAGGCTAGGCCCCCCCAGTGCCACTAGGCCGCTGTCCCTGGGCAGCTCCGACAACAAAATCGCCCCGGCTGCCGCCGCCTCGCCGCTGGGCGCCGCCGCCGCCGACGTCGTCGATTGCTCCCAGAGGGGGTTCGTGAAGGGCCGCTCGTTGATCGACGACCTCGTCGAATCCGACGCCCATTGCCAATTCTGGGGTGAACTGCGCGGGCCAAAGGACAGCGGCGCCACGCTGCTCGACTGCAAACAGGCCTTCCCGTCGGTTTTCCACGACTGGATCGCGGCTGCGCTCGACAGGCCAGGCGCCCCAGTGCGCATCCGCTACGCGATTCGAGCTCTGCGCGACCAGATCTGGACGATGGCGCCGTTTCCCGGCCCCTCGGGCCGCGGCTTTTGGGCCTCGGGAGGCATGGGACAAGGTTGCCGCATGAGCGGTGTCTTATTCGCCATCATTTTACGCCCCATCTTGGTCAGAGTGAAAATTTACCAACAATCTTACGAGTTTATTTTGCCGTGTTTTGCAGACGACATTGCTCTGGTGGCCAGGAACCTCGTGGCCGCGCTGCCGATTGTCGCGAGAGAGCTCACGCTCGCCCCCCAGTGGACAGGCCCAATTGAACTTCGAGCAATGCCACATCATGATGTTGCACGTCCCCGACGCGGAAACCGTTACTCGCATGTTCCAAAACAGCGTCCCCAAGATGAATGTCCAAAATTTTAGTTCCGGGCCCAGCGGTCACTACCTCGGCGCGGTCGTTGGCCCCGACGGGTACTGTAAGAGCTGGAGTACCCCCGCCCAGAAGTTGTTCGAAAGATGCGCATGCATCGAGAGCCTTGAGCTTGGCCACAACCTCTCCCTCTCCGCCTACAACGCGTTCGCCTTCCCCGCCCTTTCCCATGTCGCCCAGTGCTGCGAGCCGCGCAGACATCCAAGGCGCGCGAGGGACGCCGGAGATTCACGAACGCCCCCAGGTACGCCTTTGTCCCACTCGCCCTGTACCACATGAAAGAGATCGGACTAGAGCGCGAGGCACAGGACGTTAGAGTATGCGCTCCAGCGGCACTTCTTCGATCTGCGATCCGTTCAGGTGCATTTTGGAGGA